GAAATCCATTTCAATATTTAGCTGCAGAAGAAGCAGACTTAAAATTGCAAACAAAACCTAACAGCCTGTTAGGAAGCTGGGAGTACCTACTAAGCCTGTTTCTTTTAAAGAAATTTGCCATGATGTTGTAATATTTTAGCAAGGGCAAAGGACAACCCTTTACTGGAGAGAGTGATAATCACAGTTTATGGCTTCCTGGGCTCATGAAAAGAGTCTGGCATATATATCAGATTTTTCAATGTATATGTACATTGTACAATGTACATGCCTGGCATAGGAACAAATAACTTCTGTGCTTTCATAATATGCCTCCTGTTCAAAATGTGGACAGTTTTATTTGCAAGCTCTAACATTTATTTTTTTTCTATATGCCTCCAGAGAGCACACAGGGGAAACCAAAACTGATAAAGTCCTGCTACTTTTCTTGCATTAGCTCTACTGGTGCTTTTTTAGTTAGCCAGAACTGAGCTTAAGCACTCTGGTTGGATACAGAAATCATGATCTGTGGTCATCAACCATGTAAGAATCCGTCTTAGAAATTATTATGGTCCAGTTTAAGTGAACAAACAGGCAAAACAGGATGGCTTCACATTTCGTGTTAGAAGAAACTTGGTAAATTCTAGCAGCTTTGCCAAGTTCATGAACTAGATTTCAATAATCTGAAAGGTGGATTTCTGGAAATGTTTTGCCCTTGAAACTTTTGCCTTTATTTATTTTTCCAAATTAACATTTGAATTAGGCCTTTCTAAACTTGGGAGAGTAAACCGGAGGAACCAATACGTCACAAACTTCTGTTTAAGTCTGGCAAACAGCAGCAGTGGGAGTGCAGTGCCTGTTGAGCAATGGAGCATCTTGGGGTAGCCTAGTTATGGCGCTTTAACGACACAGCAAGGCAAAGCTGTGGGTAAGAACTTTTAGTAAACCATGTGATGCAAGTATGGAAAGCAAACAAGTAGTGGAGCACATGAGTTCTGTGGTCTACCAGGCCTGCTACAAATGTGCTCAAAATCCTGTTTTATCCAGCTGTTCTTAGGCCTAACAGAAGTTGTTATGTTTCCCTGTCGAGTCATGCTTCACTGACAGCCTGTTCTCATCTACTGGTATCTGCCTTAAAGGCACAATACCTGGTCAAATCTGAGGCAATTGTTGCAAACAACTTTTGAAAAGCACCCATGGATAACAAGGCAAACCCGAAACGGCAGGACTGTAGTTTGTAAATGTCAAAACAATAGGTCAAATTCAATATTGTGGGGAAAAAAGGAAAAAAAAATTATGAAAATTGCATACAGCAATATCTTCACAAGGAATATGAGGAAAAAGAGGACAAGGAAGGAAAGAATGCAGTAAAAAGTAAAGAACAGCAAAGTACAAGGAGGGAGTACATTTTTTTAGAAGTTTTTGTAGGTGGTAAAAAATTAACTACAAATCTTAGGTATATACCTATACCTTCATTCCTATCCTTCACATGTGTGGTTTACAGCTGAATGGTAACAAACTTCATTTTGTAGCATACAATGGCATGGACTGAATAAAGAGTCTAACTCTGTCGAACTTGTGAATATAGCAGGTGCAGCTGAACATAAGTAGTCTTGTTTAAAAAACAAACAACAGCCAAGATTTATGCACTCGCATTTTGTGTGCGTGTGCTTATCTGTCAACAAACCCAGTTATGAGGTTGAGATCTCAACTGAATTATACATTTATGGGAAAAAGCAGCCAGGCAGGGGGACCCTGCTCATGTCCCTGCAGAGGGATAAAATGTAGCCTGAAACCAGTCATATTAGGTTCAGTTTCAATATGTCTATCTAGAGAAAGCAAAGTTTCACTGTTTCTGTGGTGTGTGTTTGACTTGGACACAGCACAGCTCCTGGAATGGTGGGAACATTCCCGTATCACGCAGTCCTGTAAGGCAAACAGTTTAGCCACAGGCTTATGTAAGATGGTCTAGGTGCAGGTAATTGATTGTATTTTGTCCATATAATGTTGGTTCTGTCAAATAAATGTCAAAATAGTGACATTCCTACACAACTGTAAAAGAACAGACCAATATCATTATTGGCAAAGAGAGCAGTTTTGGCAAAGAGAGCAACTTTTTAGTTGTTGCTTAATTATTGTTACTCCAAAACTGTCTCAGAACAAGAGAGGCAATTCCTGACTCTACTGAAATATGTTAGAGGTGAGTAGCTTATATTAAAACCCAGGTACTTTACTCAATACAAATTTCCTTAAATAAAGGTGTTTGAAATGTATAAAGCAAACGAATTAGGAAGAATAAACAAGGTTGCCATGCAATGCTGGCAGGCCCACAGTTACTATCACTATTAGCAACCCCTGTCAAGGAGAGGAGGATTGCTGTTTGACTATGTTAGTGGCATTTGTGATCTGGAACCAAAGCTCTTTATTTCCATGGGGAAAAACTGTAGAGGATCATTTAGCAAAAGGTGTATGTGTGGGGTGTGTTTTCCTTGTTGTTTGTTTGTGAGATAGCATTAATATTTTGCTGGACAGGAAGATACTGTCCATGGAAGGAAAAAGGTTTCATCTGCAGTCTTGGGCTCAGAAGGTGGCAAACCCCTTGATACTGTGCGTTAATTGCTGTTTCAAACAATAAACTAAGTAGCTATGTGTTACCATTTAGGGAAAAATCACTGTCCTTATCAAGGATGGCTGTTTTTTTGATGAGGCCAGGAAAGGGTTGAGAAGAGGCATGTGAAGACTTGATTTGTAAAAACTATTTGGAAATATTAATGTTGTATTTGAGTGGAAATTTACAAAATCCCAAACTTTTCACATTATCTTACAGTGACTTTAGCAGCTTACAGAGTGGCAGCAAGATAAGATATAGATTGTAGTTCAGAAATATGATGAGAAAATTAATCCACTGCTTTAGAGAATGCCATTGCTTAAAGTTATCTTGTTCCAGAATTAGTTTTCGTGATACAATTGTATTTAATTTTGCCAAAATTATTGCTGGCTTTCTGGACTGGTCAGTTAGTTGAGTAACAAAGATTTCTGTATCACTCATTAAAGAATAATACAAGATCAGGTATGCAGCAGTGAAATTAATCTGTACTATTGACAGTGCTCAAGAGATATTTATATGTAATTGGAGGCTCCTCCTTCCATTTTTCAGGAAAAAAATGTTAAATTATTATGACTAACCTAAGTTTTGAGGCAGTAATGTTATCTAGACTATTTGCTTCTATTATTAAATACAATTATTTAAAGGACTTACATATTTTTTAAAACAGTTTTGAATTAAAAAGCCAATGTAACTTAGATACACTTTAAAAAATACATGATTGCTAACATTGACCAGTTTTGATGGCTGGCAGAAGTGTTGTTCTGCTACCATTATTTTGTTATTGTTTAATAAAGTAACTTTTTAATCCCAATATAGGAAGATTTCAGGTTGTGAGTTATCAAAAGAGCAAATGCCACATTGATGGTAAAACCTGGCTTAGTCCCCAACACTGTTGCTTTGTATCTTCCTGTATGTCACAGCAACCTGTGTAAGTAGGGGATATTTTGAAGAACGTTAACAGATAAATTTTTATATAGATTATGCATATGTTTATCCAATGTTTTCATAATCACTAACTATATTGACTTCTGGGGTTTAAGACAGGGATCTTCAAACAGCACACAGAGGCAATACACAGATGCAGGTCCTCAGGGCAGATATGGCATTCATATTATTAAGGCATGCATTTGACAGGTTTAAAATCAAGAAAAAAAATCTTCGCTCTACTGTGGCTTTGTCATTCCTTACAGCTATAGGAGAGGTTGCAATTATTACTGTAGTATTTGTGCATATCTGTGTTGGTAAGAATACACTTTCTCAGCCTTGTAGCTGTCAGCCTGATTATCCGTCACTGGAAACAGTGTCCCTCTAAGAAAATCTAGGGAAACATATAGAATAAGCAATTTTATTTCTATTTAGATCTTCTATCTCTAACTTGGAGATTAAGATACATAGATATATGCGTGTGTTTCTGTGTGTGTATAACCCAATGGCAAAACCTCAATTTCAGGCAAAATAAGGGTGATGCTCTCAATTTTCCCAATACCACATCAGCATTCGCACCAGTAGGATGATTTAGCTGTACCCTGTAAAAGCTCTCCTCACAAAGACTTGCTCTTTTACAGGAATTCACAAATTCAATCACAGAATCACTGAAAAAAAAATAGTACTATTGATGTTAATGAAAAGCCAAATAATAGGATGAGCCACTGTATTCAGTCTCATCTAAATTCTATAATAAGAGCAATTTAGTCGTTATCAGTTTTTAAAATAGATTTGTAGTGTTCCCTTGGGGTTGTTCAGCCTAGAGAAGAGCAGGTTCTATGGTGACCTTATAGCAACTTTCCAATATCTGAAAGGGGCCTACAAAAAATCTGGGGTAGGGCTTTTTACATGGGTGTATAGTGAGAGGGCAGGGGTCAATGGTTTGAAGCTTAAGGAGGGGAGATTCAAGATGGACATTAGGAAAAAGTTCTTTCCTGTGAAGGTGGTGAGATGCTGGAACGGGTTGCCCAGGGAGGTTGCGGATGCCCCCTCCCTGGAGGTCTTCCAAGACCAGGTTGGATGGGACCTTCAGCAGCCTGATCTAGTGGGAGGTGTCCCTGCCCACACAGGGGGGTTGGAACTAGATGATCTTTAAGGTCCCTTCCAACCCAAACCATTCTATGATTCCATGAGAGATGGAAAATAACCTGTGGAAAAGCACTCATTTTTTAATGCTTTGTGGACCAAAGGCTACTTTTAGTTACTCCAGTGTAAGCCAGCTGACTAAACTGGAGCTCTCCCAGTGCAACAGGGTAGAATTTGGCTGTAAATTAATGTCAATAATAAACACACAAACGTGGTCTTCATAATGGCAAATTTTGTTAGGCTGGTTTCTTTTGTACAATAAATAAAAATACGTATTTTTTTATTTAGAAAACTCATTTCATGCATGCACACCATTAAAGAAACATTTATTTAATTATATTGAAACCTTAAGCGAGAGAGTTTGGCGGATAACAACAGAGACCCAAAGCAATTCCATACGAAGGTCTGACATCGTCACAGTCTCGGAAGTGCCTGTAGCACAAGAGGATGATTTTTAAGTATTTGTGAAGAACCAGTGCAGTTTATGGTTGCTGCTCTGCAACTCTTGGGTCCTTAAACCCCGCCGCTGCTGCGTTTGCAAGTGCAACTTAAGCCCCACTCGCGACTCCCTGCAGGAGGTGGTTACAGCGCGAACGGAGCCGTGAGAGCGGGAGGGCGAGCACAGGGTTTCACACCGCTGCGGGTCACGCTCGCTCCCAGCGGGTGTTGCTGGAGGGGCCCCAACGCGCGCCCCATCCCGCGCTGTGAACCAAGCAGGGGTTTCACACAGCGGAGCCCATCCCTGCCTCCCTCCCTGCCTCCCTCCCTCCCGCAACACTTAACTTCCCGCTGGGAAGCACCGGCTCCCGCTGGCGGCCACGCTCGGCAGCGGAGCCCCGTCCAGGCCCTACCTGCGGCGGG